GTTTCTTAAAAAGTCCATTCTTAGCTTTTGCAGTTTGTGCCGCATACAACAAGTGTACTTATTTTTTTTCCCCCAAATGTATGAATGTTTGTCTATTTTTTTTAGGCGTCATTCTGGATATCCATGGTAATCTCGGAGAAAATGGACGGCAGTAGCTTTTATGCTTTTATCATTCAGAGTTTTATTTGATTCAAGTTAACAACCACACTGATTTTGGAGATCTCATGCAGCAGCTGGACCGTGTAGGACTCGAGAAACGGATGAGGGAAGTTATTCATAAACAGGAAGTGACATCACTGCACAACAGGAAGTGCAAAAGCTCTGGTGTGGTGCTTAGGCTCACAGTACCATAGGAAAGCATCCAGTGCTCTGATGGGTATTTGGTATTTGTTATGCAATAGAGCGATGTGGAGAAAAGTGACGAATGAGAGGCTCAGAGCACTTTGTTGTTGTTGAATACTAAAACATGGGGCCGATCCACTGAGTGTCACCACTTCTGTGTTTCGCTCAAACCAACATATCCCAATTCCCTCTCATGACATCTCCTCACAGTGTTTCCTGTATCTGTGATTGCTATCGGGGTGGACAATTGTTATTATTGTTATTATTTTGTTTACTGACGTTAATTGAGACCAGACTACATTCCATTAGTGACTTAACCACAAATGTAATCCACTAGCAACAGAAAAACCGCCATTACAAGCGAGCAAAATGTTGCTGTTTCACTGAGATGCACCTAGCCCTATAATTCTAGGCATCATAAGCAGGAAGCTCTGAAGTGGCCCCTGACCGGGCGGCTGCCACAACAGGGCGGCCCCGCCCAGATCATTGTCCATCGACATGGCATGAAACACAAAAAGAGTAAAACATGATTTCATTAATACTCCCATCACATTCACTTGCATTTTGTTTGCAGAGCTCACAATAGTACATCTATATTATCTCCTGAGAAAACAGATGAATTTTTCAAGCATTGCATACATTTCTAGGGTCTCTCTGTCTAATAATGACAGCGAAAAAAAACAAAATGGGCAGGGCAGACTTCACCCAATCCCACTCCATTGACAAAAGGGCAACAAGGGATAACAAGGCAGATCTCTTTGGCTTCTCCACACACAATGTTATCATCACCCATTCATCATTTTCTGCTTCTGGTTTAAATAGGACACAGCTAACACCCAACAAACGTGTTCCAGCCCGAGACCGTTTCCCTTGCCATCAACATGTGGTTTAGAAATCTGAAAATATAACTTTACCATAACATGAAATTTACATCAGGCAAAATAAATAAATAAATGAACACACATTTAAAAACATGGCATCAAATAATGTAAACTGAACAATAATCAGAACTCTTCTCAACCATAGAGAAACATCAGAAATATGACGGAGTTTGCCAAACCTGTGAAATCCCCCAAAAACCACTTCTAACCAACAGTAGGACCCCCCAAAATGCCAGCTCACGCACAACTAAAGGCAGATGGTATGGAACATTACATAGGTGCGTACAAATGATAAATATAAGCTTTAAATTGCAAAGTGTTGCGCCCTTGAAAACGTTTCAGTCCAGATGAACGAACATTTCAAATCCCACGTTAACAAGCATCCACTTCTACATCGTACACACTCGAAATCTCCAGAGCAGCAAGTAATCGTTTGGATTTCACCCACCGATCCACCGTGGTGGTGTTGTATAACCATTCTTCTGTCTATAGAGGCAACGGTTTAACATAGTCATCTGAAATGTATTGCGTAATGAGATAAAACGTCGGAACCTTTTTAGATTATATCAACCCCCATATCACTTATATCTTTGTTAAACAAATTACTCTTAACTTCTCTGAACTTTCAAATTTTGACAATGTCTCGATCGTACAGTCGAGCCACCGCTGTGGTCTGAGTATTAGTGTCTTGTGGACTATGATAATTCATGCAAGATTTCTGATCAAAACATGCCATCATGCAAGTCATTTCTATGCATTGAACAAGCACAATTATTTATGTATTTGTTTGGAAATCTTTCGGAGTAAATGTAAGCCCTTGGCCCGAGTTGACCCCATAATAAACAGACCCTTAACCAATTGGTGTGAAAGCCCATGTAAAAAAAAGCGTTTTGTTTTTTTGTTTTTTTGTTTTATGTGGGTATAACAAAGATAAAATGAGTAGAAGAGGTAAGTGACATGGGCAAAATGTTGAATATTGTTCTTTTTTTTTATCTTGTTTGCATTTTTGTTGCTCAAATTAACAATATCTAGCTTTAATAAAAGAAAAGAAGTACGTCCAAACGCTCTCTGTCATTTGTGTCTTTCACTCACCAGTCATCCCTCTGTTTGCTCTTATAGAGAGATTGTGTCATTTCCTCCTCTATTACAATTCAATTCATTCTTAATGACACAGAACCATTGGCTGCTTTAAGAGAACAATCCTTCGGAATCGAGCAGCCTCCTTGTTTTTTCCTTTACGACACCGTCTTCCAGAGGATTCCATGACTTGCATCCAGGCGTCGGACTCCTTTAGTGTTTTTTTTTCCATCCTGCTCTAAACCTCCTGGTGTAGAGTTACTTTGTCTTATCTGTAGACCTGTGGTAAGTGAGCAACAGACGTGTTCCGTGTCTGTTTTTCCATTCCCTTTTTGTTAAGATCAGTAGTGTAGATACAACAATGTCACACAGTATGCTGATTATGTTTGGTTTTGACTGAAGTTCAAGAGTCTCCAAGCTGGAACTGACCAAGCGGCTTCCCTCTGCATTGATATAAGAATGAAGTCTGTAAACAAAATTACTGAATATTATTTTTTTTCTGACTTGCAAATGAAATAATCTGTACATCTGTGTAGGTGAGTTTCCTCTGCTTGATGTTAAATTATTATAATTTTTATTGTCATTACTGTGATTATTTATCCGACGCTCTTAACATTTAGATTCCCTGATGTCTTTTTGGTTTCTTCCTTTCTCTTTCCTCCCTCCCTTGCCCTCGTTGTTGTCGTCATCCTGTTTTTCCTTGTCAGGTTTGGTTACACTGTCATAAGAGGGCAGGGAGGCAGTTGAGGGTGTGCTCTCCTTTTTTTCCTGTTCCTGATTCTTCCCGCCATTCTCTACTTTGTTATTGGCTGGTTTGCGCTTGCAGACAAAGCCCCGCCTGGCCAGGTAGGAGCGGTAGGCCCTTTGAATGATTCTGGCGGACACGTCCTCCTGCTTGCGCCTCAGAGTGGTGGTGATGGGCTCGTAAGAGACCTTGGAGGGATTGGCTGCCACAAAACGCTCCTCCATTTGCTGTCGTAACATGTCCAGCTCACCACTGTCACCCAGCACACGCTTGGTGAAGGCGAATAGGATGTCCAGGCAGTGGATGCGGTCGCCGCTCACCATCGGCATGTCCATGGCGATCAGTTCAATGGTGTTGGGCTTAGGGACTCGGAGCGGGTGTTCAAGTGCATCGGCAAAGTCAGAAAGCTTGGCATAGGTGATGAACTGAGAGGCATCGGGGTCGAACTTCTCCCAAATCTCATAAAAGGTCTCAAAGTCGTCCTCACTGAGTGGGTCGGCACTCTCCTCTGTGGCTACACTGAAGTTCTCCAGGATGATGGCGATGTACATGTTGACTACAATTAGGAAAGAAATGATAATGTACATAACAAAGAAGAAGATGCCCACAGAAGGGTTCCCACAGTCTCCTGTAGCGGGCGTACCAGGATTCTCTAATTTAGGGTTACAGTCTGGAGGGTAGTTCAGAATGGGCAGCAGCAGGCCGTCCCAGCCAGCTGACGTGGTGATCATAAACAGGATGATCATGCTGTTGCCGAACGTCTCAAAGTTGTACATGTCATCGATTCCAGCCCCGTGCTTCACATAGCCAAAGTTGGACATGCCGAAGATGGAGAAGATGAACATAACCAGGAAAAGTAGCAGGCCGATGTTGAACAAGGCAGGGAGCGACATCATGAGGGCGAACAGAAGAGTTCTGATTCCTTTGGCGCCCTTGATGAGACGCAGGATCCTGCCAATACGAGCCAGACGAATCACCCTGAAGAGCGTCGGCGACACAAAGTACTTCTCAATCAGGTCGGCCAAAAACATTCCTGAGGTTAAAAGAGAGAAAAAAAGAGATACAACATATGTTTGTTTAAGCTTTAGGTGATATTACTCAAACTCTGATCACTGACTGCTTCACTTTATACACATGATAGTGTTTTGCCTACGAGCAGAAACGGCAAATACATTGGTTTGTGTTCATTTTGGAAGTAATCAGGACACAGTCACAGTTTTCATAGAAAATTATTTTTGTTTAAAGAAAGCAGTTGTAATGAAAATAATTGTATTGTATTCATTGTTTTTCTATAAAGTCTATTCTATAGATAATTATGTAGAATAATAGAAGACAGCAATGTATTGTACAAGTGAATATCGGAGCCACATTGACAAAAACCCTGAGATTTTGAGAATGATGTTGTAATATTACAAAAAATAATTACAATAAAGTTGTAATTGAGAAGAAATATTACTAGGATAAAGTCCTAATTTATTTAAAACATGTTATAATATTACAAGAATAAAAGAAAAATATATTTTTTAAGAAATTAGTAACTAGAACCTGTTTCCAGAAGTTTCACCACTTCTGGATCTAAAATCTTAATCTGTTAAAAAATATTAATTAGACCACTTCAAAAAAACAGTTTATTTATTTTTCATCAGCTCATTTTATTTCCAGCTCTTGAGTTTTGTATTTTTTAATCTTAAGACAAAGTAAATGATTTGTCTTTTTAAAGAAATAATAGATTAATCAAGAGATCCAACCTCTAACTTTCTTTTTTTTCCACAGATGAGTTTACAAATGAAATGGGTCAGTGCTGTGAGCAACACATCACTACCAAAATAGATTGCATGGCTTCACTCAACATGTTTATATGGGCAGGATCTGACCCATTTCCAGTCAAACTGCTTCACGTGTGTAAATAACCCTTTGGAATACTTGCCCACAATTGAAAGGATGACCACAACCACGTCAAAGATGTTCCAGCCATTGGTGAAGTAGTAGTGACGCAGTGCAAAGAGCTTGAGTACAAACTCGGCCGTGAATACCACAATGAAGATGAAGTTGACCCAGTAGAGCACTTCCTCAGTGTCCTTGGACTGATCGTCCGTCTCCACCATCATGGTGACCATGTTGAGGCAGATGAGGACCATGATGGAGATGTCAAACACCTGCTGCGTCACAAAGTCAAACACCATGCCCTGGATATTGTTCTAAGGAGAAGGGGGAGGAGCAAGAGATATTCAGAGTTGGTTTTTTTCTTGCTTAGAAATGTAGTTACAGACCTGCATGGTTTTGAGTTTGAATTGAGCAAAACAGTAGTTTACCTGAGGCCTGGGTATCGGTTTTTGTGGTTTCTTTGACCCTAGTTTCTTCATGGCATTGTAGTATTTCTTCTGCTCTTCTGTCATGAAGATATCCTGACCTCCAAAGTAAAGGGAAGAAAATAGTTTGGTTACAACCTGCAGGGATTTCAACCTTTCATTCAAGTTCGTCCAAATATAGTTTCGCATAAAATCTTATTTGACTATTGACTGTTAAAGATGGACAATATGACAGCTCCATAAAAGTGAATCCAAAGTCTCTCAATCACTACCTGGTAGCTGACTTTACTATAGGTCATAAATCATGTTAGTGGATGGGACAAGCACTAAACTTAAAAGTCAACAAACACCTCAAATTACTTTTTTCTCCAAGATGGTTTCTGTCATTTTTGAGTTCTAATCACACTGATGTATGTCCCAAGTGTTCTATTATTTTTTAGAGGGTTTTAATAAATATTTTTGGGTCAAACATTATGATTGTAACTAATCCTCAAGCCATCTTCAAGGCAGCATGTTCAGAGAAGAGTAAAATAATTCTTATCTTTTTCTTTTGCTGGTTGAAGTTGTCAATGATGACACCAATGAAGAGGTTCAGTGTGAAGAACGAGCCAAAGATGATGAAGATGACAAAGTAGATGTACATGTATAAGTTGTCCTCATAACGGGGCTGGTCCCCCACCTATGAAGTGAAAAAAAAGTGAAAATATGCACAAAACGCTCCTGCACGTTGATTTGGAAGTCAGACTTAAAAACTATAAAAATGGTACCTTTCTAGAATCTATTGCTGCATACATAATGTCCATCCAGCCTTTGAATGTTGCCTGTTAAGTGTGCAGAAACATTGTGTGAGAAAACTGATTAAACAAGACAGAAACAAATGAGATGTGTCAAGCTAACGTTTCTCACCACTTGCAGGAGCGCAAGGTATCCAGCACCCACATTGTCAAAATTGATCTTGACGTTTCTCCATCTGACTTCTGAGAAGTTTGCATTAATGAGGGCAAAACAGTCAGATTTGTTGTTGACGTCATCGGGGTGGAAGTAATCCTCAGCCGTGTCATTGAAACAGTAGTAATACTTCCCAGCGAACAGGTTGACGCCCATAATGCTGAAGATGAGCCAGAAGATGAGACACACCAGCAGAACGTTCATGATGGAGGGGATCGCACCCACCAGGGCGTTCACCACCACCTGAAGAGGAGAGCCAGGAAACGAAGCCACTGCAGTCACACGGCTACATGGAGATGTTCACACATAAAAACATCAACACAAACATATACAGAAATGCACATTCTTTTCCTCCATAAAAAAAAAAAACTGTAGCTGTGTTTTCTGATTGACACAAACTGAATCCCTAAACAATAATAGCAGGAGGTGTAACAATACTTTTGTAGTTCGATTAACTCAAAAGTCAATAAATATTTTTTTCTCTTTCATTTTGGTGAAAAATGTGTTTAACAGAAATGATAAATAAATACGATAGACTTTTTACAAAAGGACTTTGATCTACACAAAATTTTACTGAAAAATAGAAAGAGAAAAAAAGAACAGCATACTTAGACGGATGTCGGAGCAAAAGCCTGAATTTGATTGGAGTCAAATTCTGTACCTTTGTTAGCAAGATGCCAGATTTAAATGTCTTCTCTTTGAGGTGCTGGTGTAGGACAATAATATGTATAGCTGTATGATATGACTTTTAATTGCACCCTCTGGCGTTTTGTTATAAAATATTTGGAATCCATATTCAGCTCCATATGCATATTATTGTACTGTACTGTGCCATGTTTTATTGTTACACCTCCTGAAAATGTTATTATTTATCTACATCTCCAAATTGTATTAGCCATGTATAACACTATATGTTCCACCATGTCACCAGCTAATCACTCTGTGTATTTATGCTGAGTTAGATTTGCGAATATAATAATATAAAAAAAAAAGAAGAAGAAAAGCACATATTGCTGAGAAACCCATAACAATGACTGTGTGTTACTGACACAGGATTACACTGTACAGGGTTACAAATGTGAAAAGGAATACGAGTGCGACTATACAACTATACTGCACCAAAGCAGCGTGGCTATGTTGGAGGAGATAAAGCTTCAGGAGGACACTGTATGAATGTGCATTTACCAACACAAAGCCAAGTAAACCAAAACAACACTGGATAGGCAAACATCAAAACGTTCTTTTCATTCTAGTGTTCTGCCTAATATCATAACATTATATGAATAAATAAATAATTGCAAAAAACTGCAAAATGTTGAACATGACAATCATGGCGATGAAATTCACTGGGGAGTGGTGAGCAAGGATGGCGAGGGAGGGGGGTTATGCAACCAGAAGTTTGTCGATCTTCCAGTGTGACAATGCCAAAGCCAAACTGTGATAAGATCAGATAACAGGACACTTGAGGCAGAGCGACGGTTAGAGGATGCCGAGCCTACACACTGACAAAAGTTTTTCTTCTGCCCAGCAACAACCAGAGGCTGATCCAACCAATCACACATTAAACTGGTGATCAGAAGAACCCCAAAGAAAATGACAGCTTTCTCATGCTGCACAGAGCCCTCCGGGGGTCACATGTTATCAGAGCTATTGATGTGGAAACTGTTGCATACAATTAAGCACAGATGAATCAATTGTGTGTGCACTATAACACTGTAAAACAAATTAGTGTGCACCATTTCAGGGACAAATGTGCACCTAGCCAATTTATTTGCCCATCATATGACATCTGGGTGGCTCTGTAGCTCAGAAACAGGTATTGGTTTGCATGCTCAGATTGCATGAATTACATTAACTACATTAACTCTGTGATTATTCATATCAACCTCTTATTGTTCTCTCAGCTGACATTGAATAATTCAGAGCTGAGTGTTTATTATATTGTGTTGCATCATTCAGGTCAAAATCTCTATTATGGTCCAGTCTTTCATCAGGATTTTTTGTTGTTAGTTTTAATGCAAGGCTCACTGCAAACTTTTCTTAACATAGCACTAAATTTATAACATGTGAAAATGAAATATGATAAATCAAATCAGATGTATTAATGACCATCTGAGATGATCTGCATCCATGCAAAAAGCTTCTCTTCGATAAAAGGGGGGTTACCTCAAATAAAAAAAAGTCCCCTCGGGAGACATGTTCAAGGAATTTCTGAATTGCCATCTCTAGCATGCGTTGATGCTTTTATTTAATCGGCATGCAGAAGGACCAGCTGCCTGGTATCTTATGTCTTACCCTCATCCCTTCAAAACGTGACAGGGCCCTGAGGGGTCTCAAGGCCCTCAGTGTCCTGAGTGATTTAATCGGACCTAGATCGGAGTAGCCCAATGCATTAGCTATAAGGCTGACTATAGACACCTACACAGATAGGGACAGAAAGTGTGGGAAAGACAGAGGCAAAAGAAGAGAGGAGCCACATAGTTAGAGGAAATATAGAGAGAAAGATTGACCCTATATATATTGTAAGGATGGCTGAATGGTTATAAACAGATAAACATCCATATATATAGTTTCTATGTGCAAGTTAGTGTCTATATAACATGAGAGTAACCGGGGGTACTTTTTCAGTGTGTTTGTTTGCTTATGTTTGTGTTTGGTTTAGTTTGGCAAGCCAGTCTGTCGTGACAACCAGCTTTAACAGCACAGTGAGCACTCCTGGAAAGAAACTTGTGGTTGACACAGTGAAAGGGAGAGAAGATAAAGAGTCAAACGAAGGGGAAAAAATCAGAGGAGAGATGTATTCACAAACACTAAACCAATGTGACACAATAATATACACAGAATACACAGTACACAACAGTACAGTTTCCACACCAGAGAGCATCGTATACTCATAGAAGGAGGGTGGGGGAGAGAAGAACGCAGAAGGTTGAGGACAACTTTCAGGGTTAGAAGAGAGAGGATAACCTGTGAAAGTAGGAGTCCCAACACAGCACACAAACCTTACCCTGGACCCTCAAACGCCGACCCTTCAGTCGACACCCCAACAGCTGCACAACGTCTCTCTTAACTTAAAGAGAGACACAGTTAGAGGCACCTGCTGTGAGAGAGAGGACAGGTCATTGTCAGTGTAGAGGTTTGCATGGAACTAGGGATAAGTCATCTTCACAACACATGGGCCACTTCAGAATATACTGGGTTTTATGTGAGGTTTTCTACTGGAGAATTAGTAACAGGTTTGAGAAGCACTGGGTCCCAACCATAGACTGTATATAAAGAGGTCCCACCTCCTAATCTGGAGAACTTCTCTTTACACATGTTATATCTATGAAATAGGCAGCATACAACCAAACTACACCCCTGCTTAATATCACTTTAAGGAGACAATAATGATGCTATTCCAGTTTTCCTCTTTCCTTCCTCTAGTGAGTTATAGGGGTTTTGTTTTTGTAAAAGATCTGCAAACACTGTTCCTGAAGCTCCTGAAACCCTTTGCAATGATATGGAAGTAACTGCCGGACTACTGACAATGTAGATATCTGGCACACCCCCAACAATGCCAGGTAAGGGCACGGGCACACATTCGCAAATGCAGGTGAACGTCACAAGTCAAAGTTATTCATCCCCCGTTTGGAAGTGAACAAAGTGCGATGGTTTGCCACTGCTATATTTGTATATGTCTGACCGTGCCCTAAAGTAAGAGCGGAGGCCAACTGGTCACAACAGAATGGGCCAATCTGACCAATTAGAACAGACTGGGCTTCATCAGAAGGTGGGGGCCTTGAACAGACAGGAGCTAAAACCAAGCCTTCCAGATAGAGGCTGAAAAGAGGAGCTGCAGCAATGGACCATATGAGGTAAATGATGCATTTCCTGAACATAAGAGCATGTTATCATTTTCAGGTTACAAACCAAATTAAAATTAAGAACCTGAATATGAGCATAAAATGTCTCCTTTCAATGATAAGTGATTTCAACCCCCCCAGACTGTTTATCGTTGTCCTTTGTGAAAAAAGAGGCACCATGCAATATAATGCATTCCAATGTAACAAAGACTATATATAAAGCAAAAGAGCTGGGTCACACCTCACAGTGCAGTATTAATAACTTCACATAAGAAACATTTTAGCAAGGTTCCAACAAATGTATGAGCCGGGCTGTTGTAAGAGTGGATGACAGGTTAATGTACTGCAACTCATTTCCTAGTCATACACACACTTGCATACACATTTTGCCCAATAGAGGCAATGACAACATTGTCACTTGGAGGGTCTCTTTGTCTGTCCTTCTTATGAGCAGATTCCTTGAAATTTGGTTTTTCATTGTCCTTATACTTGTCAGGCAAGAAAAAACTACCATTGGTTTTGAAATGAAAGTGGAAAACAAGTGTCTATAAAAGTTTATCCTGAAGATTCATGGTTACCTGAAGATGAATCAAGGTACTTTTTCAAGACACTTATTACTTGAAGTGTGGGTCAAGCCTGACGATAAGTTAAATAAAAAACAGGGGCACCTTATAAATTGATAGACCCTTATAATATGACATTATGTGCCAGTGTCACATGGTAAGAATATTAATATTGAAACATGGACAGATTAGCACCTCACATACATGACTGTGGACAATTGGTGGTTAATGAATTACATGATGTACCAGCCAATAAAACTAAGACATAATATAAAAAACACATCATAGATTACATGAATGCAAAGAAGCAAAGAATACAGAAAGTTCGGACAACAAGGAAAAAGTTCTCAGATTAATTTATGTACTACAACAATGATGCAGAGCACTGTGAGGAAAACACAGCACCCCTCCCTTGTAATATCACATTATAAGCACAGTTTCACTGTCTTCATTTCTGTAAACATTGGTGTTTCTTATGGATACCAATGCTGAGCTCCTCCATTTGCAACGGTAGCATTTAAAGCTGCAGCACTTTGCAGAATGAATGTGGTTCCCAATGCACTGCAGCAAAGCCTGGATTTCACACAGGGAATAAATCACATGTGTCTCTCAAGCTGTGACCCATTACTCTTTTGTTACATAAGCTAAATTGACAATATAATATTTGCTCAGGAAGTAGTGAAGAGTACACACTAGGTTTAGGTCAAGAACTAAACCATGACTTTAAGAAACAGGACAATTTGATCAACTTCTGCAGTATGAAGAAAAATATTTATCCTAATTTCCTCAGTCAAACTCTTACTCTGTATTCAGGACAATACAATAAACAGTATTCAAAATGTAAGGACCATTATTGTGATAAAATGATATTATTAGAGATTAGTATTTATTATATTACATGAATGTAAAGAATACTTTTGTTGCTTAGAGAAAGTTCAGTGTGTCAAACTCAATGTAAAATCTGTCGAACCTTTAAGGGTGAAGCAACTTCCTTTTCCTAAAAAGCACAAGTTATTTTCCTAAGTTGTCTTTTTGATTATTTTTTCTTATGACTTTTTTGCATTTCAGTGCTACAGAATCAGTTTGAACTATTTTTTTAAAATAGATTGAATCTACTAGTCTAACACTTATCTGAGAAGTAAAAATAAACATTCACGATCCTATTTAATATTTGAGTTGACCAGTGACGTTAATCTTGGTGGGTTCCTCTGATGTCTAAAAATATCATCATGAGAAGTTAAACAGCATGAAATTACATTATTACACCATTGGGTATAAAACAAAACGGTGTGCAATTGTACTTACATCCACAATGAAGAAGTCCAACCAACACCAGGCATTAGTGAAGTACTTGACAAAGCCGTAGGCCACCCATTTGAGCAACATCTCCAGAATGAAGATGTAGGTGAAAACACGATCAGCGTACTCCAGAATGATTTTGACTGTCTTCCTCTGTTCAATGTACACATCCTCGAAGGCCTATAGAGCAGCAGAGAAGCAGCACACAGATGAGGACTTCACGACTTCATGACTGATACATTACACATGCTGATCTTGGAAATGAGTGAACAAATGAATGAGGGCAGTACCACTTTACACATTTTTCCACTAAGTTTAGTTTGAATTAGATTGGTCGAGCGTGTATATTGGCGAGACCTCCCACCCCCAACCCCCCGATTGCTGCGCAGACTCCAAATGCTCAAGATGGCGGCATCTTTATACGCAGCATCGTCCATCTTTATATAGAGTCTATGATTTATATAAAGAATGGCAGACTTTTTTTATCATTTTTTAAAATTGTTTTACGATTATTCACCTGTGTGGGTTTTTTTTGAGTTGATTACAAAGAAAAGCAAAACTGGTTGACATTTTTCACCAAGTCAAACAGCAACCTTTCTTCTTTTGCCGTATTGTCTGTATCTGTTCTTCAGCACATAAGTGTTTTTGATTTGGCCACAGGCCTTTCCCCTCTGAAAGCTGCAAACGTAAGCTGGATTCTGCCGGTTGAAAGGTTGGTGCATTACAGCACTTTGCTGTCCATTAGCAACAATCATATCAAGAGAAGCAGCAGAAGAAAAGCAGGAGGGGATCTTGCTTGCTCACATCCTTATAAGGAAATGAGATTCACTGTCTCTAAATGAATGACCCACTGTTGTTTTAATAATTCTGTTAATTCCCCTCTCACTTGTTCTTCACATCTCTTACATTTATTGAGATGGTGCACATCACTGTGTAGTTTTATGTGTGCTTCATAATAACTATTGGAAGAAGTATGATGTTTATGAACATATGCATATGAGTGTGTATGTGAACTCTTACCAATGCGCCACTGCTGAGCAGGATCATGAAGATGATGAGGGTTTCAAACCAGTTGTGTTCTACGATCAGGTAGCAGGTCTTTCTCAGGAACCACCAGTGTTTCCCCCAGCCGTGAGTGATGGGAACATCACAGCACTTGTATTTGGCCACACATTCTGGGTGACAATTAAAAACAAGACTGTTGATAGAGACCAATGAACACATTTTTAGCATTATTGTACAGTAAAGCTTATTTTAAATCAAGTGATCTGAGAGAAAACTAAACCTCTGCACTTCCTCTAGACTCTGTTTCCTGCCTTGGGAAAATCTGGCCTGGGATGGTTGACTTTGACCAATCACAGGGCAGTTCAGAGACACGACACTGCTATTGGCTGTTCTACTAAGCAGCTCCACATGCAGGTCCCTTTGCTGGTAAGCCTGTCCTAAATCCATGATGGAAAATCCTAAAGGAGATGTACTTGGCAACAACTGCCTTCACTGCAAAGCAACCAAAAAATGGGAAGATTGAAATATCCAAAAAAGAATCAGGCAATGAACGCCATAAAACATGCATGGACCCTCTGCCTGTGCGCGTATGAAGCATCTGTAGGTGCATCTGCCCATGCTTGTTTAATGGGAGGGGCTCAGCACACAGCGCCTCCATCTCAAACATTAGAATCCCGGGGAAGAGACAATACATATATATATATTTTATATACAATAAACTGCTTTGTAGTGATCCCACCTACTGCAGCTTTGATATAGTAATGTACATACAGCATTAATAACTACATCTGTGTAATCATTGTTATTATCCACCACAAAGTCAGGTAATAAACACCGCCTACCATCTGTCCAGCAGGCATCTGGGTCAAGGTACTCCTCTACCACCTCCACGACCGCCACCTCCTCCACATCAGGCTTGATGTCTATTGTGCTGCCCTCAGACGAACTGGTGTCATCCAGCTAAGACAATCAAGGGGGGCACAGAGATCAGTCCAGCCTCCTGTTTCCGTGAACATAGGCTCAGCAATGAGACGCCCATTCCATACAGATGTGGCACAGTGCCAGTGCAGCCATTAAACCCTTTGGGTTAATATGCATGACATGATTGATTGCTCCAGGTATGTTGCAGCCATGTAGTGCAGCTAATTCTCGCTCAAAGCAATGAGAAGATTCACAAGGAAGTAATTAAACTTGCCAGTGGCCAATTACCAATTACCACTGCCAATTACACTTTTAATGATGATCACTGTTATAGATGCATAAATATAGATTATTTGGTAATAAGAAAATGATTTATGTGTTTTGAAATGATTGAAACAAATGCTTGTAAGTGCATGTTCAAAAAAAGGGTCAAAAGAAAATCTGCTGCCATAAAAATATTTTTCCATTGACAGCTACAGTTTAATTAACACTATAGAAGTAATAACTGCTCTGAAAATGACTCTCACAGTAAGACATTAAGTTCAGCTGTACCAATAAATCATATCATATCTTCACAATAGGTCAAGGTGACTCAGGGCAGACTGTGAAACACCAGCAAAAACCTTAGCAGCGTTGTTGTAATTAAGTATACTCATTTAGGACACACACACACACACACACACACACACACACACACACACACACACACACACACACACANACACACACACACACACACACACACACACACACACACACACACACACACACACAGAATCTCAGCCAACTCAATTCACTTGAGAATGATACTGCACTTTGTAATCTTAAGTCGTCAGCAAAGGACCGCACTCTCTTCCTCTCCCCCTCTTTTCTCTTTGTCTCGACCAGACCAGATGGATCCCTGCTTCTCTGATTGGCTGTTAGCAGCTCTGTCTGTGTCTGCTCCCTGCAGTAGAACCCATGGCTGGCTGTGGTGCAGAGGGGAAAGTGCTGTGGTTGGTTGAGGGAGCCCAGTGGAGTATGAACCCGGTGCAGGTACAGTCGTGAAGCTGCTGCTGCATTATCCCCTTTCTTCCTACTAAAAACCAGGTCAAGGTGACCCACATGTCAGACTTTTCTACAGGCTCCTGCGTCTGGCTAACCTTTCACCCACAATCACACAGTACAGTGGACAACATGTTTCTCTCATAGGGACAGCCTTTTTGTTTGTCTGTCTGCAGGGTCAGCACTTGGCTTCAGTGTTATAGCTGTCATGTCTATGTGGGTGTTCTGAAATGTCAAGTAAAATTAATGTTTTCAGAGCTGAGGATTGAGGCTAGGGCATAATTTACAGGGGGGTTGAAGGTAATCGATGTTGTGAACCTCTCAATAATCAACACTAATAATTTTAAACAGATTTTGAAGCTACATGTCTGAATTTCAAAATATGTTTTTCAAAAGAACAATTACCAAAGATCTGTTTTATCTCTGAATTGCCTGAGATCTTCTAAAAACAATGTCCAAACAACTCACTTCACAATTTTCTTCCACACTAAAGTAAGGACATCGCTGCACTCACACTCACACTCTTCCATCCAGTCCTTCCTACTCACATCTTTGCTGTTCTCCACGTCTGATTCACTGCTGAAGTCTTCTGTATTCAAATTTTCAAAGTCCGACTCCCCGACCGCAATGGGAACACAAACAGTAAGGTTGGGGTTATGGATGAAGGACATGTAGTCCTCATCAATCATATACTTCCCCACACTGCTTCCAATGCCACTGGTGGTGCCATTGCCGTTTTTGGCATAGTCCAGTTCACGGTTGATGTCCACCGTGTGGTTTGCGATGCAGTTGAGCTTCTTTTCATACATATCATCCAGAGGCTTCTGTTCGTCCTCTATAGGCTGTAATGTGAACAAAAAAAGGCTATTAGAAAACATGAATGTCATCACAGAGCTACCTTACCTGATAAAGACATGCTAGACAGGTTATTTAAAAACAGAATTATTCATATAGGTATTTACTGATATCGTACCTTCTTAAGAACTGTGGCCACAAAGACTCGCATGTTGGCCTTGAACCAGGCAATCCCTATCTTAATGCGGGCGACTGCCAGCTGGAGGTTGTTGGGCTCCCCATCATCATCTGTGGCGGCAAGGTTGTCGGCACTGAATGAGCTCAGTAGCAAGGCCAGGAACAGATTCAGTACCTTGGGGCAAATACCAAAAAAAGCTAGAACACTCACAGTTTAAAGATAGACGACATGACAGCTCCCCAAGAGTAAAGCCAAGGCGTCTGATCGCCACCAGTATCCGATATATTTTAGCTTAATTTTTGTACAAAGGGAGGAAGTGGAGACCTGTCGTCCATCTTCATAAACAATAAATACAGTAAATAGATGGTTCACTCTTGAGACACTCACAAGTATTTTCTCTGTGAAATATTTGTGTTTTCTTACCACCAGGTTTCCGATGACCATGACCATCATGAAGACAGTGAGACACATGGTCTGTCCCGCCACCTCCATACAGTCCCACATGGTCTCAATCCACTCCCCACACAACACTCTGAACACAATCAGGAAGGAGTGGAAGAAGTCGTTCATGTGCCAGCGAGGCAGCACGCATTCCTCTGCGATCTTACACACACAGTCCTTGTAGCTTTTGCCAAAGAGCTGCATGCCCACCACGGCGAAGATGAAGACGATGATGGCTAGCACCAGGGTCAGATTACCCAGAGCTCCCACCGAGTTACCGATGATCTTGATCAGCATGTTGAGGGTGGGCCACGATTTGGCCAATTTGAACACTCTTAACTATGAGAGAAACAGGAAACATGAGTATTATAAAGTTATTTATATTAGAACACTGACAAAATGTTGTGACTATGACAAATTGTTTAAATTTCATTATCTCTGACAAGGAGGTTATGTTTTTCCCTCTGTCAATGTATTTGTTTGTTTGTCGGATTTCCACCAGAGTTGGTGGGAGGATGGGAGCAATGAGAAAACATTACATTTTGCCACAAATCCAGACAAAAGGACAGGTCCAGGAATTTTTACAATTGGAGCAAAGCACCAAGTTAGCTATTTTGTTATTATGAGGGGTGTAAAAAAACGTTTTGGTTTGCTCTGAAACTGTGGCAGTTGAAATAAGAACATGGTGGGCCACAACACTCTAGATAATGAATGGGAAAATCCTGAAGAAACTAAAAAATGTCATGATGGTTTACATGTTATGGAAGCTCTTCAAAAAAATATTAAGACAATATAGACAACGCAGCATAATGTGAAAAAATTCAAGGCTTTAATTTCTCATCAATATTATGACCTGCACATAACGGATATACTAGGTAATCTGATGTTGACATTCTGTCTCTACTCTTTCTCACTTACCAATCGGAAGGACCTGAGCACTGACAGACCTTCCACATCCGCCAGTCCCAGCTCCACTAAACTCAGAGTCACGATGAAGCCATCAAAGCAGTTCCAGCCTTCCTGAAAGTAGTAGTAGGGATCCATGGCAATCAGCTTGGCAAACATCTCCCCAGCAAAGATGCCTGTGAAAACCTGCAGACCCACACAGAAGTTCCCATTAAGTTTATGTATTTAACTTACAATTTCCCCACTTAATTCAATGTAATTAAACATCATAGGAAATTATGTGATGACTGCTCTGTTACTCACTATAAACATTAGCCAGTTGCTGGCCCCTGTGGTGGCAACATCTCACTTTAATTCTAACCCTACCAACTTTCGATGGACCTTTTTTGTCAGACCATGGTGACCATGGGAAACAAAGATTTGATTCTAGAGAGGGAGTCTTAGAAACGGCTACCACATTCAAGGAAGGCAGGATAACCCACTCTCCACCATCCGCGCATGTGGACCTAGGCAAAATTTGGCACCTTGTTCCAGCAGAACTTGTATGGAGCTGTCGTGCTGTGATCGTTTCCCATATCGTCCACCTAATCATTCCTCTGACTTCAGTTCCTGTTTCACTCCTGACTGCATTCCAATTTCAGTGATCTCATTTCCTGTCTTAACACTGACACTATGCCAATACTGCTGACCTCAGGCAGCTGTGCTACACTGATGTGTGACAGCGAGGGTGGAGCTAAACACCCGCTGTACATCTGGTTACCATGTACTTCCCCAAAAACAGTCATGAGCAGGTCAGTGACAAACCTAATTATCATCACTGCTATGTTTGAATTTGTGTGTTTGTGTGTGATTGTGTGTGTGCGCGTGTGTGTTCATCATTTGGACAGAGTTCAGTTGAGTTGAGGTAAGCGGGATACAATGGAAGCAGCAGAGTGACCTGAGCGTGGGTGATGGGAGTTTGGGGAGCAGGCTGGCTGGCTGCATTAGAATGGAACTAAATCTTTAATGAGACCCCATCAGAGTCCTATATCCACTATGTGTGCGTTTACTTAAGTGCACATACCAAATGATGCATTGATTGGTATTGGTTTGAGGTTATGTAGGTGGGGCTAACTGAACCTGCAATGCCTCTGTAACTCCTGAGAGAGATGATAAGCTTCAAGGCATGAAAAGTTACAAAAACAAACAGCAGTGGTACAGTCAGTGACAAAACAGGAGCTTTGGTTTCTCACCAGGTTACCAACGGACAGAACCCCCTCAAATTCTTCAGTCATGGGGTAGTGCTCCATGGCCATAAAGAGGGTATTGAGGACAATGCAGATGGTGATGGCCAAGTCAACAAATGGGTCCATGACAATCAAGTAGACAATGTGTTTGATCTTCAGCCACATGGGAAAGCACTCCCAGATGAGGAAGATGTTGGCGAACTTGTACCAACAGGGAGGACACTTCCTCTGAGACTCCTCCAACTCTGCAGGAAGAAATGATGTAGTAAGGAAACCAAAACGAATCAGTAAACCAAAAAACGATAAGAGTCTCTACAGTCAAAAAAGCAAAAATATGTTTCCAGTTTTATGACCTCCACCAAGGAGGTCATAATCAGTAAGAAAATCAGTACCCTCTAACAGTGTGTTGGTGACGACACTCATCTGACTGTTGGCCCGGTCCTTTCCTTTGAACGAGGAGTTGAGCTGATCCACAGAGACCATGAGAGAGCCAGATTGCTTCTTCTTAATCTCCACGTCTGTAGTCTGTACTCAGAGGAAGACATGATGTCAGTCAGAGATAGCACTCACATAAATACACACTCAACAAACGCGCATGAAAACTCATGCTGCAAGCTTTCTAAATGATAGACAATGCCCTTGGTATGCTCAGAAAATGAAAGACCACAGCTCTTTATATTAGATTATCTCATCTATTTAACAATGTGAACCCCCCTAAATTATGTGTAATGTTTCAACCTCATACTGCAAATTCTCAAAGAGGTGCCTTAATTTACCACAAGTGAGGTCTTCCCTAATATCTAATGTTTAAAATAAGGCTTTTTTCAAATTTCAGGTTTGTTAAACGTGTTACTGTAATAACATTAAACATATTCTGGCTTTTATTTGAGAATTCACGATGCACTTTTCAAACCCTCCATTGTGTACTGTGCAAGATCACTGCAACACTAAATTGCATGCAATGGCATGCATGTCAAAAACAGAGGGAACTTTAAGATATAATTTGCCGCTACACCATGCTACATTTTAAGAGGTAAAAATGGTAAAAGCAGGTATATTGGTTGAGGATTAAAGAGGGGTCTACCATGCTTGCTGCAATGAGGAGAAATATTGCTATAGAAATTTTTAAAGTTTCATATTTGTTGCTGCACCTTCCAGGGGCTCAGGAGCAAGGGGATGAATTGGGACGAGAAGGAAAGATAGGGAGGCAGGAAGGGAGTGAAAGTAAAGATAGAAAAAAGAGTTTGGAAAGTCACTAAGAATGGAAAAAAGTTGAACAAGGTAGTGAGTATTTATTCCTGTAAAATGTTTCAATAGTCTAGTGACAGGATTGTTAGGGTAGGTTGGCATCATATTGCAATATTATTAGATATTAATCAAAGAACAGATAATCATGATGCTAGTGAGGCAGTGAGTTTGTGGATAGTGTTTCAGCTGGTTAGTGCTGTTATAAAAGGAGCAGCACACACAGGGAATTAGAGTCAAGGTTGAAGTGACAGCACAAGATAAAATAAGAAGAATCTGGATATCGGGGTAGGAAAAGGGAGTTACTGAGTTTAGGAAAAAGAGGAAAAAGAGTCAAGGGGAGGAGGTTGTGAAGGAAAAGCTGCAGAGACCAGGGCCACCACCATCATGCCTATACTGTATTGGTGTCCCATGGACGTCCTTACACTGTCATCAGTGGCTGCCTTATCTATTTTCACCTCAGGCAGAAGCCGTCTGCCGGGCCCAGGTCCTATGAGAGACACCACGCCATTGCAGTCCACTGTGCTGTTCCTCTTCCCTCCAGAGTGGGGTGCCAGTGGGTGGATGCGTGATGAGCCTTGGCTGTAACCACTATAGCTGTTGCGGCGGTAAGGGATAAACAGGGAGCCCCGACGGTCTTCGCTCTCCTCAACAGTACTATGCTCATCATCTGCAAACTCGTTCTCTGAGCCCATGTCCTTGGAACGGCCTTTGAAGCTGAAGATGCTGCTGCGGCTGTTGTGGCGGGACATGAAGGGCGACCCTGGGATGCTCAGTAGTGACTGAAGTGGGAGAGATGGGTGCAGAGACAGAGGAGGAGTTACTACAATCAGCAGAAGTTAATTTCCGTGTGAATCTTAGGCAAATATGAAAATATGTCGAATAAAGGCAGACAACATGACAATTTAAATTTAATTCTCTTTTAACAATGTAAAATTCAATTTTAACTTCTCCGAATAACACACAATATGACTATATCATTGCATATATATCAAAGTAAAATATAAATATAAAATATTAGTAAAGTAAAACAGTAAAATGTAAATGAAACAAAATTAAAGTGTTAATGATTTCATAAATGTATTGTTTTCCATATCATGATAGCAAAGTTCTAGTGGCTGGTCAGTGAGGATGGGCTGCAGCTGGACAGCAAAGCTGCAGCCCGAAGTGTGTAACAGTGTGTAACATTGTGAGTGTTGCGTGAGAAGGGACTAGAGGAGCCATTCAAGACATCACATATGCAGCTTAAGGCCATAATAGCTGGGACTCAAGCGAAGACAGCCATGGGAATGACACAGCAAACTTACCATCTCCACTCAAACTGAGGCCTGATCAACCTCACCATATTCAAATAGAGGAGGTTGAAACACCAGGAAACAAGAAACATCCCTGACAGTGTGCAGCCCCCAGACCCGTCAGTAAAAGAAAAGTTTAATTTACCATTACCAACGCAACTTTACCTAGGAGCTTCTGGGACAGGAGTGCAGCGGTACGCTGGCAGGCTTGGAGGAGGATATTTACCACCAATTTCAAGTTGAGAATGCTAAGATTCCAAGAAGTCTGGGGTAGCAACTTATCAGGGAAGCAAAGGTGAATGCTTATTGCTCAATATTGCACAAGCTCGTCCAGTTACACTGAACAAAAACCATGTACTCAGCAGAGCCAAGACGTTACTGCTGAGTACAGCTTAAGAATGAGCTTCCCCTCTGGATGTATTTCACCACTCTGGTACAAGATCAAGGTCAAAATTATAACTGGGTGCACCATCTCTGACATCTTGTTCTCTGTGGTGATGAACAAGCTTGTGGAGTTTTATGGACCTGACAACCACTACAGATCCCATACCAGGCTGTAGCTTGATTCTGCAGGGACTCAAGTGGCCTTTGAAACAGACCCACATAATCTTCAAACCAGCTATGTCCTAAACCTTTGAGCAGAAAAAACTAAAGATTGAGTTGAGTTGAGTTGTTCTGGTGGGCTGCAGCATTGCAAGCCCCATGATTCCAACCATAACTGAGAGGCCAGTAAAAAGCATAGGTCAGGATTGTGAGTGCACATTTAGGGCCTCAACATCCATCTTATCATGTGGGCATTCCAGGTGTATGCAAGGTCATTCTAAATCACAGAGGGCTTTGAAGGAAGGTGAGCACTTGCCTCCAAAGATTGCACCCAAACAACAACAAGCTAAAGCAGCCATTAAACATTTCTGAGGGAGGGTTTCCAGAGAACAGCTGAAATGCTGAAATTCTGGGGGACAAAGTACTAAGAAGTATTCCAGGAAGTAGAGTCATAGCTTACATGGATCTTTCCCAACTTACAATGCCAATTTGGTGTCAATGATACAACAGTTGGCCATTTTGAATATGAAAAAGCATTCTAAAAAGACACAAACAAGTCACAAACACTGTGCAAGGAAAGTGGAATCCTGGAACATATTGTGAGCTACTGCCTCAATGCCCAACCTATGGTGTGGGTATAGACTGAGGCAAAAAGGCCTGCCCTTTCAAGCATACCATCATTTACTTAAGAGCCTGGGAAATTCCACTGGAATCCTGGCCTTTGCAAAGGACTGGCAGCTGTTGGAGAGGTAGGTTAAGTTCACCCAACACATTTTGATCACAGCTCTGAGACCAAATATCATTGTCTGGTCTGAAGCCGCCAACAAATGATCTTGCTAAAGCTGGTCATTCTTTGGGAAGGATGCTATGAACATAACAGTGATGATAATAAGCATCAAGATGGCTTTGGCTCAAGAGAGGAGGGCAAGGGGAGGATGTAGCTGATTTTCCTTCTAAACACAAGCTAAGCTGGGTTACCTGGACTAGATCTATGATGCTGAAAGACAAGAAGCACCTAGTGATTCCAGGAACATCACTATTAAGGTGTCAAAGAGCATGGATAGATATATTTGCTAAGCCAAACGTTTTTTATTCACTGTATAGTTTTTCTTGCTAATTTTACCTGGTTCATGATGGATGTCTTCCTCCCCAGCCGGCTTCCGGGGAAACGAATGGTGCTTTTCTTGCTCCCATCATCTGACTCAGACTTAACAACCTTTTCACTGTCTCCCTTCTCTTTCTCTTGCTCTTTCTGACGCCATTTCTTTTTGCGATTGCGACGTTCCTTGGCACTCTTGGAGCTCAGCTTGGAAACCTCAGAGGAGCTGCGGGACAAGGGCCCCCCTCCTTCATCCTCTAACGCAGCCTCAGACACAGTGCCTGCAGATGTCGCCATGGCAGCCGCCTGAGGAAAGAACGTGGCACATGACAACCGTACATTTTGAAAATTGGGTAAATGTTTATGTTTTCGATAGAACAAGACCAACCTGTGTTTCCTCCTGCTGCCTCTTCAGCTGCTCAAGCATTGCCTTGAATTCAGCCTCTTTCTGCTCTGCCTCCTCAATAGTGGCCTGGTTCTGCTCCTCATAAGCCATGGCCACCACAGCCAAGATGAGATTCACCAGGTAGAAGGAGCCCACGAAGATGACCAGCACAAAGAAGATCATGTAAGTCTTCCCTGCTGCTCGCAGAGTCTGACAGGAAAAAGACAAATCAATGAGAATAAATCTAGAGATTTAGAGCAACTTAACAGGGAGGTTTTAGTTTTACAGAGAAATGTGCCAAACTGACAAAATATAAATGCACCTCAGTAAAAACGTTTTCTCTACAGTAATTTGTTTTATTGTAAGACTGTATAACTGTATGTATTTGTGCATTGTGTCATGGCTATCTCCAGGAATGAATGCAGGAATTCTAACTTTACACCCACTTCTCCGTTCTCCCCCAGACACACACATTCTTGTACATCTGTCTTAGTGAGGACACTCATTGGCATAATGCATTCCCTTGCCCCTTACCCTAACCATCATAACTAAATACCTAACCCTAACCTAGTTCTAACTCTTACTCTAAAATAAAGTCATAACATTCAAACAGCCCTTCGAAAAATTGAGGACCAGCCAAAATGTTGTTACTTTTCCAAAATGTCCTCTATAAGGTAGATAATCAAAATGGTCCTCACAAGGATATAAGTACAAGTACACGTACACACACACACACACACACACACACACTTACATACAAAGAGGAGGAGAGAGGGAAGAACAGTGTCAGGCCCAAATGAAGTGAATTTATTGTGGTGTTGCAGGTCTGTAAGAGCAACGAAATGCTTGTGTGTGTGCAGAGGATTAGGATGAGGGGTATAAGAAGACATCAAAATATATGATAATGTCTCAGTGTTCTCTTAAAAATACATTTGACAGAGAATAGAACTGTTCTTAAGGTCATTTAACAAAAAAAAAACATTTTTTTATTCAAAACAAATGTCTCCATTATTTTCACCCTAATTGAAATATAAACATAACTCTAGTGGCTAGTCACATAGTTGTGGCTACAGTATGTCTGAACAGCTGCCCTTGCTTTGCTTTTATTCAGAGGGCAAATTAACCTGGGGGGGAACTGCTGAACACACTTTTGCTGATTCATTCAGGTATTAGAGCGACGATGTATGCATTTTTTATGATGGAGTGAGGACAAAAATCATTAGTACTGCTTAGCAAGTGTTTTAGATCTATGGGTAGCTGTGGAGGCTCAGTGTAAAAAAAGTATTTGCTTTTTGCTTCCTCTGGACATTTGTATGTCAATTTTTAACTGAAGAGAAGAGGCAGAAAAATTCAGGAAAACCCAGCTTTACCAGCATGTAGAGATTTTCCCAGAAGTCCTGGGTCATGAGTCGAAATAGTGTGAGGAAAGCCCATCCAAAGCTGTCAAAGCTGGTGTAACCGTAGTTGGGGTTCACTCCGGCTTTCATACAAGTATATCCCTCTGGACAATCTCTGAAAGGAACACACAGTATGTTAATAAATGAGTGTGGGTCACTTCAGCACTGACAGTTACAGATATATACTGTACATATTTACGACGATAGGAAAATGAAAATAAAATTGAACAAAGCCTTGATAGGCCTAAGTGTGTTCTATCTTTGTAGTTATTTTGCTTGTGCAGACATGTTTACAGACCATGTACAGTATTAGTAGTAGGATATTGATAAGCCTTACCTTAATATTTCATGACCTTTTCAAAAGCAAGAAAGTGTAGCCTATAAATTATGAATGCAAGTTCGACTGCTTACACTGTATGTGTATGTTTATGCAAACAGACTCAATATAGTAAATACAGTACAGTATCATTATGTTATTTTTTAAATGCCAAAATAGGCTAAAATGTACTAAAATGTTAAGAATATTGGCCTCTATATTGACTTAATCTACATCATCTGCACTGGTCATTTTACTATGATAGTTTGTGGAAGGATGTATCAATGTCAGGGACGACCCAATTCAATTAAGAACTAATTAAATTTTGGTGCCCCCCCCCCACTGTCTTTAACAAGGCAAGGTAGGGCTAGTTAGGGGTTTTCTTTTTTACTTCGCCGTGGAGGTTATGTTTTCATCTCTATCCATCGGATTGTTTGTTTGTCAGTTGGTTTGTTTGATTGTCAGCAGCATTACACAAAAACTAAAGAACCGATTTACAAGATACAAGAACATCACTGATATTGTGTGTAAGTGCATCTCAAGACATGTGAATGACCAACAAAAAAATGTGAGACACCTGCAGAGCATACATATGGAGGCATGAATTTAATGCGCTGACTTACCCTGAGTCAGTACTATTCCCACATAATAGAGCATCCAACTGATTGTGGAGGAAGTAGAAATTACCTATGGGAAAAAGAAGAGAACACTTTACTATTTAAAAAAAAAAAAAACAACACAACGAGAAAGTAATTGCACACAAACATATAAAACAACATTTATGTAGTTATATGCAAGTACTTAAATTAAATGTGAAAGTAATATCTCACTTTTGTTCATGATGTATACGTTCCAGTCAAAGCCCCTGCTGCCGTTTGGCAGGTACTGCTCAGTCATGTTGATTGGCCAGTACACACATTTGTTCCGCAGGTTCCCCATGAAGAGCTGCAGTCCAATCAGAGCGAAGACGCTGAGACAGAAGACGGTCAGGATCATCACATCTGACAGCTTCTTCACAGACTGGATCAGAGCGCCCACAATGGTCTTCAGGCCTGTCAATTAATGTACGATAAACACATGCACACAAACACACACGCAAATGTGCACGAATGCACATGCATGAGAAAAGACAAACTCACATACACACGTGCACACACACACACACACACACACACACACACACACACACACACACACACACACACAGATAGACAAATAAAAAGACTGGCAACTTGTGGCATTGTAAAATGTACAAAAACAGCTGCAGTTCAGAGCTGACTCAAGTCACGTAGGAAAAAAAGCTCTGAATATCTGATTCTGTATTTAACCCTGTGTTGTGCAGGCTTAAACAAATCTTAGTAGACATCAAAACTACATATACAACAAGCATCTACAGCCAGTGATGCCAGGCCTCAACACCAGAAATGGACTTCCAGCATGAGGGTTGTGTGTTTTCTTCTCTTGTAAAACCAGATGTTCCTATTTCTCCTGCCTGGATGGAAATCTGTGGTTCAGTCTTTTGTCTGACTTTAATTAACTAATCAAATAGATGTTAGCTAAACAGTAGGTGTTAGTCACTTAATGTATGATCTAAGCATTTAATATCTCAAGAGCACACAAAAAAACTCTATTTTGTCATAACTAGAAAGTATAAAACACACACACGTATATATAAATAAATTTATATATATATATATATATATATATATATATATATATATACACAAAAATGTTTTCTGTTGTTTTCTGTTGTTATGTTTTTTGTATCATCATTATTATTATTAGGAGTAAGAGCATTCTATTGCACTGTATTGTGTTAATAATTTATGTATTTATTATATAAAATATATCCTAGTCTGACCCATATTGCTGCACTTTACTGTATAATATCATATCACCACATTTCGCCCCACTGTATACATGATCATAGCCGATTCATTGCTACCTCTTTTATCATCATTTTGACACTTTGAGATGGATTTAAACCAGTATATCAAGCACATCATTAGTGGATGTACTCTCTATCTTAGTCTACTGCTGTCATTTGAGTCATTTATATAGTTCTATTTTATTACATTTTATTCTATTTTATTTTGTCGTATTCTTTTTACCTGGATGTATTCTGTACTTGGGCTTCTGTAATACCAGAATTTCCCCCATGAGGATGAATAAATGATTATCGTATCGTAATGTGACAAATCATTTCATATTGTGTTGTACCATATCGTGTTGTACCATATCGTGACGTATCAAATCATATCTTAAAAATTATAGTTGGTTGTAAAAAAAGTTAGCACAAGTTATGGTTATAAAAATGTTGAGAGGTACGTTAGGAATAATACGTATACTGTTAAATTTAGATATTGTTTTACAATGATACCTTTGTTTTTTATGAGAGCAGTTTAAATGTGTAAATGCAACAGGCTAAGTTTCTCATATACAGATGTAATGAGGCCATTTCTATAGAATTCTGTACTTTCTACATAAAGCACCATTGAACCGAGGCAACACGATAAACCTACAGTAGAGAGAATAAACCCAGTAAAGGTATTTGGAATTTTCTGATATCCAAACATAAATAATGAAAGCACTGAGTGAGGCCATTTCTATAGGGTTATAAAAAACTTTGTGTGTGTGTGTGTGCTTGAGGGCTTAATATCTGCTGTCATGCTGAGAGGCAGAGGAACATGTTGTTCTGCATCTCCACATTTCCTGGAAGGAGAAATTGTCTCCTTTTCCTTTGCTGATGTTCTTGCTGTTCACTTCCATTGTTTTTCTCCATGCTCATTTTGATAGGTCTTTGACTGATATTACACATCACGAGTACTACTTTTTTGAAGTACATAGTTCTCCCCTGTCATTAAACTACTGTCTGGTGTTTAAGTTATCAGAATTGCTGTAATACAATCAAATAAATGTGACTGTATAGTTTGTCATTAGAAAGTAAAGAATCTCTCTGTGAATATCAATAAAGTGTATTAATTGTGGATGGATTGAAATGGATTAATGCAAAGATTGCAGATTATTGGTAGGATTTAGAAGCTATACAATTACACTACTCTGATAGACAGCAATATTTGCTAAATAATTATCTTTCTCGTATTTCTTTTGTAAGCACCACTTGACTGTTTTCAGTTTTATCATTGAGTCATTGACACTTTCTCACTTAAATTGTTCTTCTTTTCCTGGTTTTAAAGTCTGACATGGAATATTGCATCAGCATGGTTTCACAGTTTGAGTCAAATGTGGTGAGAGACTTATTGTGACTTAAATGGGACTCATATAGTGTTAGTGCGTTTTCTTGAATAATCCAGCGCATTAGTTGAACATGGCGCAAATATGCAATTAATAGTTGAACAAACACATAGTGTTTACATCATCACTGTCATCAGACATGGCTCTTTAAGAACAGATACTGTAGGTTACGGGCCGTTGAAATCAGATTCACTAGGAGTAAGGGACCTACATATAAATATAACTTCTTCGGAAAGTTGCAACGATTTTGGTTGTGTCACTTGGAAGCTTTCTGTTTAGCTTTTTTTTCGAAGCAAAAATATGAATCTGAATCTGATCACAGTAGTTTGCAAACTACAAAGTCCTAAAAAAGAAAATTATTGCATTATTAGATTCAAAAATTAGCCTTTTCTTATCCCTTAAAATTAAGTTGTTGGTCGATCTTAATGGTTAGAGAAAATTACTTTAAAGTCGGATTTTAAGCCTAGTTTCTATAGGTTTTAGAAAATACTATGACACTAAGTTGTAACTCCAAACACATGAGCAC